ATGTGTGAGTTCTCTAAGGGCACACCTTGTTCAGAGATCAACAGACTTGCACCCATGAGGGGACTGCCAGTTTACTGGGTGTCTTCGGGGAACCCCCATGGTGGGATCAATTAACAGTTCCATTTTCCTTTGACCCTACTCCCTCCTTCCCACACCCCCCAGTGTGTCTCTGGTTTATAGTTGCTTGTTGGTTTTGATTTTTACTTTATTATAATTAGTCTTTTTCCTGGTCCTTATTTAGGTTTTCTAAATTCCTGTTATGAGACCATCTGGTATTTTTCTTTTCCTTTTGGCTTATTTCGTGGAGCATCATTAATCCAGTCAATTAATACCTTCATCAGTTCTTGGGGTTTGGGGTCACTGAGTAAGTTTGGAGCCACCATTGTTCGAACTTCATTCTCCTCCAGCATCATGTCCTGAGGGTCCAACTTGAATGGGATCAAGTTGAGGGGCAGGTTAATGGCATTCATGCCCTCTTCCTGGAGCTCGGAGACCTCCTTGACTTTCTTCCTCCAGGCCAGCATCCATCCCTCCGAGTTTCCCCAAGAAGGAGTCATCTTTCTTCCGGGACGGGAGTGGGGGGGGCGACTTGGGAGTGGGGGGCTTAGGGACAGAGGGCGACTTCTTCTGCGGAATGGTAGCCATGGCGGGGAGCAGGCAGCTGCGGGCCGGTTGCACGCAGAGCTGGAGCTGAAGAGAATGCTGTAGAATCTGCCTTAGGACTAAAGTTTTCCCCCTATATAATATTACTGCCCAGTGATGGTTCAGAAGCCTGTTAGTTTTTTAAAATCCTGTCTATATTGCTTTCGTTTTGTATTTAGGAAGACTTTATACATAGGGCTACTATATTTGAATTTTATTGCCATTTGATTTCATGCTAAGGAATCTCCAACCTAAGCCATGACAATGTAACTGGCTCCAAAAAAATATTTCTTTTGGTTATGAATACTGGGGTCCAAACTGACACTAGAGAGGAGTTTTAAATAATAATGTATATAGCCAGAAAATCTCTGATAAGGATTTGATTACTTCAACAGATCCTATCATAATTTAATAGGGTTACCCCTTGGCTGTGCTGCAGTATTACTCACAGAAGAAACATATAATTAAAGTTGAAATCTAGTTATTTCATAACCACTGTGAAAAAGTTTAATCATTTATGCCAAAAATTCCTTTAAAGATTAATGATTTCACTTTGTGCATGTTGATGACAAAACTGCCACACTCCAACTGAGACATTTTTGTCTGCATCCACCTATACTCCTCCTACTGCCTTTCCTAGAGGAACAGCCAACCAAGCAATGGACCCATCAGCAGGGAGAGAAACAGGGTAAGAGTATTTATTTATTTATTTATTTATTTAAAAAGATTTATTTATTTATTTATACAAGCACTGGGTACAGTCAGAAGCATGGGAGGGTGAGAGAATTCAACAGAGCCAGAGCGGGGAACAGAACAGGCAGACTGACGAAATACACTGCTGAGGGGAGCAGCAGGCGAGACAGGAGAGGTCTGTGTGCCATGTGGGACCCTCACCAGGGGCCGGGGATCGAACCGGTGCTGCAGAGGCTGTGGGTAGCTTCTCAGCCCAGCGCAACCGCTAAGCCTTCAGGGGAGGCCTAGGGTAAGAGTATTTATGCTTTAATGTATTTTAAAATAAAAGAATTAAAGATATGTGCTACATTATGTTTTAAGTTGTGGGTGTAAGAGTCAATAACTACCCATCTGAACAAATGCATATGTGTTTCAGATGCTCAAGGCAATAACTGTATTATCTATAAATAGCAGGTGACAGGCAGAGAGGCATGTTCACACAAGGGCAGCTTTTCAAGGACCACTGTTGTCTACTGGTGTTTTTGGATACTGTCCCCACTCACTCCACCCAGTCACGGAAATACCCTTAACTGGAAGGCTCAAATAAAATGTTCAACTGAGAGAGTCCTTTCATCAGATGACCTTACTGAAATCAGGGTAAGGGAGAGAAATATGGCGATAATTTAGATACTGAAAAAAAAAAAAAAAAACAGAGTAGGATTAATTGAGATTTTACTGACACTGGAATTGCAATTACCAGAGGGAGTTACTATGGGCTTTAGGAGGACTCAGCAGCTGAAATTTTTTGGAATTTTATCTACTTGCTATTATCCATCCCTCTTAGCCTTTTTATGTCTTTGCATTTCCAGAGGTACATTCGGAGAACATAGGTCTGGACTGAACAGGCTTGGGGAGGTGTGCAACGTGATCTACAATCTATGAAACACAATGGGGGATCTTCCTTTTTTAAGGTTGTCCTTATGTAAAGGGAAGAAAGACATCAGGGCAGGGGAGGCAGTGGTGGTGGTTCCTAGCAATTAGACAAAATTCTAATAGTTTTGAGCTTTAAAAGCATTAAAGGACTTTGGGCCTCCCTGGTGGCCCATGGGTTAAAGACAAAGCACTATCAAGCTATTTCCAGCCACTACAGCTCGAGTTCCATCCCTGGCCTACCTGCAACCTAACCCACATGGTGCAGCAGACCTCTCCTGTCTCGCCCACTGCTTCTCTCAGCAGTGTATTTCAGTTGATCTGTCTGTTCTGCTCCCCACTCTCTTTGGTGAATCTGCTCACACACACCCCCACCCCTGCACCTCTAGCCTACACCCCAGTTCTTGTATGCATAAATAAATAAATCTTTAAAAAAATAAAGGCATTAAAGGACTTAGTCTTATAGCTCCATATGTTACAGCATGAACCTGAAGGAAATTATGCTACATGAAATAAGCCAGTCACAGAACAACAAATATTGCGTGACTCCCCTTTAAGAGGGGTCTAAAATACTTGAACCCCATCCCAGGGGCTGGGAGGAGGGGGAAATGGGGAGTTGCCCTTAAGCAGGTGTAAAGTTTCTATTATACAAGATGGATAAGTTATAGAGATCTGCTTTACAAAACTGTGCCTATAGTTAACAATACTGTATTGTGTGCTTAGAAATTTGAGAGGACAGATCTTGTGTGTTCTTACCACAGTAAAAAATACAACAAAATTAAAAAAAAAAGCCAACAGGACATTAAAAACAAGACAAAACAATACAATCAAGTAGACCTCTCAAGGTCATACTTAAGAGACAAACACAGTTGGGGACCTGACATCTTCCATAAGATTGTGGGCATCAGAAGTTACCTTGAGTCCCTCTCATACTACCATTGGATTTTGCCCCAAGATTCAATTAGGTCAAAAACTATTGTCTACAAGTCTTCTCTACTGATTTCTAAGTTGCTTGAAAGTGAGGGCTAATTCACTGCCTTTCAGCCTCGTGCCTTGGACACAGTTAGGTACCTTTTTTTTTTAATTTTTAAAAAAGATTTATTTATTTATTTATATAAGCACTGGGTACAGTCAGAAGCGCGGGAGGGTGAGAGAATTCACTAGAGCCAGAGGGGAGAGCAGAGCAGGCAGATTGTTGAAGTACACTGCTGAGGGGAGCAGCGGGTGGCAGGAGAGGTCTGCGCGCCATGTGGGACCGTCGCCATGTGGGACCGTCGCCAGGGCGGGCGGGGATCTAACCAACGCTGCAGAGGCTGCGGGCAGCTTCACAATCCAGCGCTCAACCGCTGCGCCACCAGGGGAGGCCTGGTTAGGTACCTTCTTACTATAGGTTGATGATTAAATGCAAGGGCTTTGAAGGCTGACCATTTTGGCTTGAAATCCAGGTTATGTGGTTTTGAGCAAATGAATCTCTCTCTGACTCTCTATCCCTTGCTTGTAACACTACATAACAACAGCTTTCTTGTTTGATTATGTGATTATTAAATGATGATGCAGATATAGCATCTTGCACAGTGCCTGAACACTATAAACTTTCCATATATGTCAGTAATTTTATAAAGAAAAATTTTAAATCATCTAGTATATACTCAATAAAGAAACAGAAAATATACATAAGCAAAAATATTAAAACCCAACCAATCTCATCTCTCAGAGATAATAAAACGCAACATTTTGATGAAAAGCCTCCAACACAGATTTTCATATAGATTCAAAGTGACCCCCTATATCATTCACAACCTTTCTGTACCCCACCTTTTGTTATTGATAACCTGCTCTGAACATTTTTCTATATCAGTAATGACATTATAATTTTAAATTAGCCATGTTTTATTCTACTGTGTACTATGTATAAAACAAACAACTCCTGTTGTTGAGCATTGGTTTTTATTCTATGATTCTTTTTGTATTTAACTGAAATACAGTACTAAATAATTACTGAAACAAAGCAGATAAATATTCCTTTGCACATTCTTTAGTCTATAATTTGTTTCTTAGGTTAATCTTTTTTAGAAGTGACCATGTCAAAAGCTATATAGATTTTTAAAGATTTCCTACCTACCAATGAATTGTCACTAAAATACTATCTATTTACACATCCATCATCAGGGAATGAAAAATATTTACCAGTATAGAGTATAAAATAGAGCTTTGAAAATTTGACATGTAAAAAACACCTCATTTGAATTTTAAAATTCATTTTCAATTCAGCCAGTACTAATAGCATCTCTTCTGTTCTAGGGATGAAGGTAGGGAAGTAGGGGAGGGGAGAGGTGATTCAAAGGTGAGGGAGACAAATGAATCTTTCCTTTGATGGAACTTAAACTTGAGCAGACTTAAACATAGGAAAGGTATGGTCAATTTAAATCTATTTACATTAAGCATGTGGTGACCAGGAATATATTACAGGAATTGGAATGCAGCCCAGGTTGTTAGATTAGACCTCCTGAAGTAACATGCATGGATGAGCAGAAGTTAGGGAGATGGGAAGGGTGGCAGGGCAACAAGGAAGTAAGAGCTTTCCAGACTGGCTGATACTTGAGGAAGTGAAGAAAATGCAGTGGTTTATGCATGGACAATAGAATGATTTGAGATGAAACGTGAGAGGTAGCTTGGGGTCAGATCACATAAGGCCTTAGAAGCATGATAAGATTGAGGACTTTATTTTTCACATTTTGGGGAATGACTCACCGAGAGCCAGGTCCATCTGGGGAGACAAGCTGGAAGGAACGCTGTGTACCACGTTGGCTTGCACTATGTATTACTCACAACTCTAGTTACAGGTGATAGGCGTGTAACTCAAACCAGGTCACAGTAAAGGGAGAATTTGTTGACTTCTGTAACAGAAACATAAAGTAGTGAAAATTTCATACAGGCCTTAGTAACAACAGAATCCCTAAACTCTAATTTATAACTTTAACTCCTGATATTTCCCTTTATCCATCTTTTTTCTCTGATCTCTACTTTTCAGACTAATTCTGTCAGACTAGTTTCCTCCATTGGATAAAAACTAGGTCACAGTGTCTCTTAAAATGCAAGTCTTACTGCTTCCCCATCTAGAAAGGGACAGACTCATATATTAATGAGTTTTTAAAAATTCAGTAGAAAGCTTCTGAAAACAGAAGGAAGTATAAAGGGTGCTAGAAAATCAAAACAATAGATGACCATTAATTTAAGGATAAGTGGATGGATTCAGCAGATATTATAAAGTAAAATCAACAAAACTCAGCAACTCATCACATGTGGTAATAGAATGGGGGATGACATGTGAAAATTACTACTTATTCTGGCAATCTGAAAACAGGATACAGAGAAGCAAGACCAGCCTTCAGTCATATTTTATTTTGCACGAATTTCTTGAATCTACATGGTGTACTGCCTAGCAGTGTGTACATTAGCAAACATCTAATCTCAGCCCTAACTAGGATTTTTGGGGGTAAAATTAAGGTAAAACCATAGTGCTGGGTTTCAGGGGAACAACTTATTATTTTTTTAAAGATTTGTTTATTTATGCATACAAGAACTGGGGAACAGGCCAGAGGTGTGGGGGATGAGAGGATTCACCAGAGACAGAGTGGAGAACAGAACAGGCAGACTGACTGAAATACACTGCTGAGGGGAGCAGCGGGCGAGTCAGGAGAGGTCTGCTGCACCATGTGGATTAGCTCCCTCATAGTGCTGACATTTAACCCCCTGTGCTACCAGGGAGGCCCAGGGGAACAACTATTATTCAACCATAGGCACATGAACAGTACGTGTGTCTGATGGGCTATAAGGCGCACTAATAGTGCAGCACAGACAGTGACTGCCAATGGAGATAGACAAGCTGATGAAATAACCCAAGTCAGTCTCTTTACTCCAACTACCCAATGGTTTGCCCCATGTAGGTACCAAGTAAATTGCACTAGGGAAGGTGATAAACAGGCTAATTTGTGCATCGTTGACAACAATCAAGTTTTCTTTGGTTGCTTCACTTTGAACAATCAAGTTTTTTCCAATTCAAGTCACTAAAACAATGACAATTCCTCTGTATTTTAAACCATTCTTGATGATACAGTCTTGACAAATGGGCTCTACATAGTGACCTTTACCCTGTGGTTTAAAATAAGTCTGAACATGAAATCAGTCATAGTACTAAAAGCCTCCCCAAGGGGTAAAGGAAATGCTCTGCCTTTTGCGGGTGGTTTAACATCGGTCATTGTCATGAAATACAATGAAGCTATTATTAATGGCACAATGGCCAATGACTTCTTAGCTCATTATGTTTCCAAATGAAGTACATTGGGAAATGTGGATGTTGCTTTCACAGTGGAGTAGAGCAGGTAGCCTCAGTTACATCTTTGCAAAATTCAGGATATACAGTATCTGATGATGTTGCAGGCTGGATCACATATAAGGCAAATTCCAGTGAAGGGAAAATTGCTTTAAACTCTATGACTAGGTACTTACCAGTGCTGGGAAGATACCTGTGGCTTTTGCTGAAACGAGGATAAAATACAGCCATTGTTCCACATATGTTTTCTTTGGGGGATCATATCTTTTCATTACAAAGTCACATAGTTGGCAATTATGCTTTGAATTGACTGTACATATTGTCAAATGCCAATTCTTTTAGGCACAATAATCCACTGTCAATGTGCAACTTGGTCAACAACTTGGTCAACTGCCTATGGTCAATAAAAATGTGTCTGTATTTGGCTGTTCTTCAATACATACTACTCTACTCTTTCACCACAGTATTATGGACAAGCAAATTTTTCAAAGGTCAAATCACTGGAAACCATGTGTGGATTAGCCTATTTCTAAATGTACTAGCTTATCAAAAATATTGTTTTAAGGATTAATTTGCATGAGCTTATTTCTGTATATGATTTTCTATAAACACAATTTATCAATAGCATTAAGTGAATATAAATATTTTCTTCTTGAATATATTTTATACAAATGTTTACAAACATTCCCCTTATTGTATTCTTCATGAATATATTTTTCACAATTATAAAACATATTTCATAGATTTGTTAATCTCTATTCTAAGGCAATTGTATTGAGTTATACTGTATAATTATAAGGTAATACTACTTTATCATTGGAATTTGGTCTTTATTAATATATTTCAATTCCAGAATACATTAAAAATGTATTCACATTTTAATATATTCTGTACATTTATTAGGAAGTGGTAATAAAAATCCAAATAAGCCCAGGACTCAATATTTATAAATTTTACATTCCATAAAGTGTATTTAATGAGAATATTTGTATATTTAAAATAATACTATTTCTATTTGTTACTTGGTAAATTCACATTTTAGCTAACAGCAGGTTAAATTATATTATCAATTAATTTACTTAAGAAAGCATAAATTGTGATTCAAGAATTAGAATGAAAAAATACATTTTAGTTATATGCTTTTCATTCTGCCTTGTTTACTTGGCTTTTGTGATGATATAGCAACAACTGATTTAAAATAAACTATTGTTCTTAATGTGATACTATGAATCCATTGTCACATATTGATAATGATTTTGAAATTTTCAGGATTAGCTATGTCCTTAAAATGAATGAGTAGAGTTATTATTGTCTGAGATCAAAGAAAAAAAGAATCTGTGGTCTCTTTGCAGATAAACCCCTTATTCTTTGTCTGGCTATATAATTTTAGAATAGTTCAGACCAATATCTATCTCTAACCTACTATAATTATATCAGAAACACTGCTCTAACAGATGCATAATAAATTATAAAGCAAGAAAGAGGTAGGGTTCATCTGAATATGGTACTTCCACATACATTTAGCCTAAATATATATACATATACACACATACATATGTATATGAATATACATGAAGAATGAACTGAATTTGGACTATGAAAAGTCATGACCTCAGAAAATTCTGCCATTATACTTAACAAAACACACACAGACTAAAATCAAAGAGAGCTTCAAATAACTGCAGACTGAAAATTAACCTTATTTTTAAATGTGTGGTTATAGTTGTTAGGGTTTTTTTTGAGCTAAAGTACCATTTACTCACTTCTATGGGGTGATTAATTTGTTTTTTATGAATATGGATCAGAAAATTTTTTTCCACATAAGTGAACTAGGGATTTTGAAGAAAGGGATTTATTCTCAACACTGACTTCATGAAGAAAAGTTAGAAGCAGTACTGCATTTAGTCATTAAAGAGATGAGGGCTAGAGTAACTAGCATCTAGATTCAGTACACAGAAAGACTAGTGCAGAATCTCAAAGCTCAAACTGCTACCTTTCTTAAAAAAAGATCTTATTTATATATAACTTGAGGAGTTGAAATACATTGGCATATAATGTATTTAATGTAATACATATAATGTATTATGCATATAATTTTTGCTATATTCATTTAAGTTAAAATAAAATATGAAGGATCTTAAAAGGTTTTACAAATCAAATATATTTTCTTCATTGATTTCTTGTGTGATGAAATTCCTAATGTGAGCCAGTAATTTTAATTATAAAAACTCTAACAAAAGATCTTTCTGAAAATATGTGTCTGCCTGGGAGGAGCATATTAAATTAAAAACTAGAGTGTAGCAATATATTATTATGAATTTATTAACTAGATTTCTTTCATAGCAGCTAGGAAAGAATAGAACCAGGTGTAGAGCTCCATGGAAAGTAAGTCAGGTGGAGCTATACCTTAGGCTTCCTTGAGGCCAGGTGTTGGGGACACTGGGTTTATGACTTGGAGGGATGAAGGGAGAAGAGTATTCCTTGGATTATGTATTCCCTTGGGATTCTTTGTATGACTCCTATTCTAGAAACTCTGAAAGGCAGCACGTGCAATTGTTTAACTCCTAATATCAATGCTATATACAAATGGTCATTGAATAAATGGCATTACCTAATTTAAAAAAATATGAATTCATTATAAACATTACGATTTTCAATGCTCAACAGTAAGATTTTTTTGCTGAGTTACTATTGGTTTACGACACTGTATAGAATTCAGAAGTAGAGGATCATACCTTTCAGGTGTTTGTCACCACACCAAACCCACTACCAAGTCACCCAGAGCCCTTCACCACAGTCCACTGTGCCACTTCCCCTGTGTCCTCCCTCCACTTTCTCCCTCTCTGGTAGCCTCAATTCTATACTAGATTTCTGGGGTTAGTTATTGGTTTGGTTTTGTCTAACCCTTTGTTTTATGTTTCTATATTCCACATATAAGTGAAACCATGAGATATTTGTCTTTCTTCTTTTGACTTACTGTGCTTAGCATAATCCCCTCCAGTTCCATCTGTGCTGCTGCAAATGGCAAGTTTATCTCTTTTTTATAGCTGAGTAGCATTCCATTCTCATATATATATATATATATATATATATATATATATATATATATATATATACCACAGCTTCATAACCCACTCATCTGTCTTTGGGTCCTTTGGTTGTTTCTATAACTCGGTTATTATAAATAAAGCTGCAAAGAACACAGGAGTGCATAAATCCCTTTGCATTTGTGTTTTGTATTCTTCTGTTATACCTAGGAGTGGAATTGTTGGATCATATGGTAGATCTATTTTTAATATTTCAAGAAACCTCCATACTACTTTTCGTAGGGGCTGGGCCAGTCTACATTCCTACCCACCCTGTAAGATGTTTCCTTTTTTCCCATACCCTTGCTAGCACTTGTTGTTTCTGGTCTCTTTGATATGGGCCATTCTCAGAGATGCAAGATGGTATCTCATTGTGGTTTTGCTTTTCAGCAGTAATTTTTATCAGATAAAGAACATTAGCAATCAGATAAAAAAAAAAGATGTTTGACTTTATTCCTTGGCCTTTTTTGGCTAATAT